CTGGGTGAAGTAATCCTGATTGGAGGATTCTCCAAAATCTCTGGGTGAAGTAATCCTGATTGGAGGATTCTCCAAAATCTCTGTTTTCCAGACACAGCTACTTGGTTTCTCGTTTCTCTTCTTTCCTCCTTTCTTATCACCTGCCTTCGCTCCCCATCCTCTCTCTCCCCTGCCCTCTTCTCCTGCTCCCTCCCCTTCTGCTTTTCTTTCCCTCTCTCTTTGTCTTTTTTCTTTACTTTTAAAAACGTACTTTCTTCCTTCCATCCCCTCTTTCTTTCTCTTCTTCTCTTTCTCTTCCCTTCCTTTCTTCTTTCCTTCTCTTTAACTTTATAATTTGGTAATGTCTTTCTTAAAAACCTGATTTGGGGGCAGCGCCTGTGGCTCAGTGGGTAGGGCGCTGGCCCCATATACCAAGGGTGGCGAATTCAAATTCTGCCCTGGCCAAACTGCAACAAAAAAATAGCCGGGCGCTGTGGTGGGCTCCTATAGTCCCAGCTACTTGGAAGGCTGAGGCAAGAGAATCGCCTAAGCCCAGGAGCTGGAGGTTGCTGTGAGCTGTGTGACACCACGGCACTCTACCGAGGGTGACAAAATAAGACGTTATCTCTGAAAAAAAAAAAGCAAAAACTGATTTTGTGGCTCAGTGCCAGTAGCACAGTGGTTATGACGCCAGCCACATGTACCAAGGGTGGCAGGTTCAAACCTGGTCTGGGCCAGCTAAACAATACTGACAACTGCAATAAAAATAATAATAATAACCAGGTGTTGTGGCAAGTACTTGTAATCCCAGCTACTTGGGAGACTGAGGCAAGAGAATTGCTTAAGCCCAAGAGTTTCAGGTTGCTGTGTACTGTGACTCCATGGCACTCTACCCAGGGCGACATAGTGACCCAAAAAAAACAAAACAAAACAAAACAAAAACTGATTCTGTGAGCTGGGCAACATAACAAGACTCTGTCTTTACAAAAAAAAAAAAAAAATTTAAAAAATGAGCCAAATGTGGTTCACACCTATAGTCTCAGCTACTTGAGAGGCTGAGGTAGGAAGATGGCTTGAGCTCAGGAGTTCCAGGCTGCAGGGAGATACGATGGCACCACTGCACTCCAGCCTGGGTGAAAGACTGTTATCTCTAAAAAATTGACAAAACCACTGTTACAACAACAAATCTACCTTCAGAACAACGCCACATTTTCTGTTAAGCAATGAATAGCAGTTTCACCTCTCCTGTGTTATTGTTTTGTTTAAATCTTTGATTCTTTCCTGCTGTCAAGCTTTGTCAACTGAGGGAGTCTTTTTGACCATCCTGGAGGGACTGTGTAGAGGAACTTGGAGAATCAGTTCCACAGGCTGTTCATGAACCTGACAGAGAGGACACAGCCTGTGCTTGACACCCCAGTAATTTGCTTGTATTAGCTTGTCACTCTCTGCAGCTCTGTTGTCTTGGTTGGTTTGGGTTCCTGTAACCAACACCACAGACTGAATGGCTTAAATGACAGACATTTATTTCTCACAGTTCTAGGGGTCAGGAGGTCCAAGACCCAGGTGCCAGCAGGTGCAGGGCCTATGAGGGCCTGGTTCCTGGTTCATAGCCCTCCCTCTTCTCACTTTTATCTCCACATGGTAGAAGGCACCTCTCTGGGGCAGCAGTTTTCAACCTGCAGGTCGCAACCCACAGGAATTGTATTAAAGGGCCACAGCATTAGGAAGGTTGAGAACCACTCCCCTGGGGACTCCTTTATAAGGGCACAGATCGTGCTCATGAAGGCTCCACGCTGGGGCCCCCTCCTGAAGTTCCACCTCTGAATCCCGTCACCTTGGGGACGGGGATTTCAACATCTGAATTCTGGGAAGACACCAATATTCAGTCCATGGCATCTGTTTTCTTCTTTAAAACACTGGAATAATGACATCTGTATATTTACATGTAAGAATTTAGTAGGGTCTTAAAAATTATTCACAGATTAGAAAATACTGAGACATGTTGCTGTTTTGCTATTTTTAAAAGACGATTACCACTATTGAAGGTGGGAGGGCAGTCATTTTAGGAAAGGCTCAAATGATGACTGTCTTTACCCACCGTCTTAAAAACCTGAGCAATCATAACAATACACATGAAAAGACAGAGGAACTCATAAGTGTTTTGGTTCTCCTTGATGGCACTCTGTGATCATCTACCCTAAATATGGAAAGAGAGCCCCTTTCTGTGTTCAGATTGCAGAAGGGATGGCTTACATTGAGCGGAAGAACTACATCCACAGAGACCTGCGAGCAGCCAACGTCCTGGTCTCCGAGGCGCTCATGTGCAAGATTGCGGATTTTGGCCTTGCTAGAATAATTGAGGATAACGAGTACACAGCGAGGGAAGGTATGTTCTACGGACCATCTTTAGGTGTCTCCTCATTGTTTTATTTTGTTTTTGTCTGTTTTTAACAAAACAATTACAATAGTTATCATTTAAAAACAAACTTTTTGGTACAACATTCAACATGTACCATAATCGTTTCTAAAAAGTACTCCTTTGAATAACTGTCCATGATTCTTTTGTAACTTTTTACAAATGCCATCGTTTGTATTTCAATGAAGCAAAGCCAAACAAAAATAGATTTAGCAAGATCAAGATTCCTTGTTTATATTGTTGGAGTTTTCAGTCAAGCAATGATGTGTACTTTCCTTAACTGTAGAGAAAATACCTGTAACATTAATTCAGAGGTCTTTATTCTGGCCTTTTAATTACAAGTTAAAACATGGACATTATCACACAGAGAACTAAACATAATGATTGATACAAAAATGTACTTACTCCTTTATTTTCCCACATTCTGTATTGTAAACGTGAACCAAAAATGCCCAGAGACAGACGGCTCCCAGCCCCGTCACACCATCTGCAGGCTGCGCACAGTCGGGGGAGCCCAGGCTGCTTCTGCTTCCGGAAGTGTCACCTGTGGAGCTTCTGACCTGAGGATTCTGGCAAAGTTGAATGAATATTTTTGCAGGGTTCACTGTCTTCCAGAAGAACAAGCACTTTCTTGACATCCCTGAGCATTGTTAAACAAGGGTTATTTTTCTTTTAACCATATGTTTGTTATTTCTGGAGGATTCTACACATCTTACAGAGGTGATGAGCAGATTGCAGGCGTTGTTTTGATCTGGTGCCTGTCTCTTGCTTCCCCCATGTGCAGGACAGTTCTCCTCCTGCCTGGAGGCTGTGTCCTCTCATCCCAGACCTGAATGCTTGTCCTCAGCAGAAAGGCAGGAAGAAAAGAAGCTAAAAAAAACACAAACAGCTGAGATATGTTGAGGACGGATAGTGTCTGTGAATGGGCTCTCTGCATTATCTCATTTGTGTCTAAAATAATGCTGCAGGACAGGCATCAGTATTGTCATTATTGTTCCCACCTGACAGATGAGGGCGCAAGAGGTGCTGTAACTTTTGGAGGTCCCTCAGTAAGGGATGGAGCAGGGATTCAAACCCAGGAGATCTAGCCTCAAAGTACATGAAGAGTTAGAATTGACTCCACCAGCTTCTTTGAATTTGACAAGCTTGGAGTCTCACAAAAGTAATGGTTCTCATGGAAAGAGCGTGGCTCAACCCGAAAGCACAGGCTCTAGATCACACAGCACAGCGTCTCCTGTGTCACATCCCACTCCCGACATCACTTGTCAGGGCCCAGGACCGGCCCAGGTCTTGGGCCTGCTTAACGAGGTTCCAGATGTGGACCGCTAAGCTACCTTGCTCAGGAACAATTTCTCTCAGATGTCTGAGGGCTATCTACTTTAGCAGGAGAGAGAGAATAAGAGTAAAGCAGGCTTAGAATAGATAGATCTTAGTTTTTAGCAAAGCTTAGTGATCTTCAGCAGAGAGATTCCCTGCTGGTGTTCTGCAGGCAGGAGAGGAGACAGTCAGAGTAAGCAGGTCCGTGATAGAATGCGCATGCTCCCAACTGCCTGCTCCTCCAGCCTAATATAAGGCTGAGCTCATGCCCCCTCAACACCACAGGTGTAGAGACTGCCAATTAACCACTGCTTTCATCTCACGAGCGCTCATGCTTGTTAGAACTAAATCCCTCTCCATGCCCTTTTCACCAGGGTATTCCATTATTGAGCTATACAGGTATTTCTTAGAACTCTCACTCCTCCTAGCCATAGGCTGTATGGGCTGCTACACTCCTGGCTCGTGTCAGGATGGCAGTGAGGTCACCCACCTTCAATGAGTGGCATTCACTGGCACCTTCGTTACCAGGCTTCCTGTGTAACCGTGCCAGGCCCACGGTTCAACCCACCTAATCCTCACAGCAAGCTGGGGAGTCTGATTGTTCCCCTATTTTACACATGAAGGCACCAAAACAACACAAAGAAGGAAGTGACTTGCCAGGTTCTCGCCAAGAAGGAGAGGCCAGAGCCAGGATTCAAACCTGGCTGTATGTGATGGAGTGGCCAGCCCCCAACCCAGTGCTCCAGGCTGGTGGGGGGTGGGGGTGAGTGCAGGAATGTGTGACAATGTTGTTGGCACGTAGCAGCCACTCCACAAAGCTCTCTACCGTCCTCATTGTTCCTATCTGGATGTCCAGTCTTGGTTGAGTACCACAAAAAATTCTCAGCAAACATACAATCAAGTTAAATGTGTTTTTAAAAATATGGTTGGTAGGAGCCCCTAGCCAGTGGTTCTCAACCTTCCTAATGCCGCAGCCCTTTAATATAGTTCTGTGGGTCATGACCCACAGGTTGAGAACTGCTGCTAGACTTTCCCCGGGGCCTGAATCCCCACTTTCCCCAAGGGTCCCCTGCTTATCTCACGGGGCCAGGCCTGCCTATCCCCCAGCCCTTGACCTCCCCAGGTCTTCCTGAGAAATGAGCAGTCTCATTCTTGGCAAACCATCATTCTGCCAAGTCCTGAAAGTGTCACACATTTTGTTCTATAAGACATTAAAGTTTGGAGTAGCATCTGAAATTCATATTGATACAAATTTAAAGATATTTATCCACAAAATATTCTCATAATAAATACATTTATGTTCCCTGTACACATAGTATGGGTGCATTAGAGAAAATCTGAGCAAGTTAGGTATGTGCATTAGAGGCTGGTGCTGAGGGGCAGATGTGCACACAGCCGAGTCCTTCGCTTCTGTGCTGTGCTGTTTATGTGGCTGTTGTCTAGGAGCATGTCCAGGAAACCGAGGAGAGAAGCAGAATTTTTTAGTATAGGATTTTGCACCATATGTATGTTACCTATTCAAAGTAAATATTTTAAATGAAACATCGAAAAAGGATCATGTGTCCATGACTTGATGTGTAAGTTCAGACACCCAAGTAAGAACCCTGTGTCTTTGTCCTCAGGTGCCAAGTTCCCTATTAAGTGGACAGCTCCAGAAGCAATCAACTTCGGATGTTTTACTATTAAGTCTGATGTGTGGTCCTTTGGAATTCTCCTGTATGAAATCGTCACCTATGGGAAAATTCCCTACCCAGGTATCGTTTACTTACCTATTTATCTTCAAGTGGTATATATGAGAAAAGGTCAAATTGCATGAAGCCATTACCCAAACCCCCACCCCACAAAACCCCAAACCATCCAATCAAAAGCAAAGAATAATCATTTTCTGCCAGAGTTTGATTTTTACTGTATTTAGTAGAAATGGTTCTAAAATATACTTGGACACTTCTCTGCCTTCTTATCTTATGGGGGGCACATTCTTTTCTTTCTTTTGCAGTTTTTGGCTGGGGCTGGATTTGAACCCACCATCTCTAGCATATGGGGTTGGTACCCTACTATTTGAGCCACAGGTGCTGCCCAGGGGGCACATTCTTTTTCTCCACTAATTAACTCTCCACTGGAATGCACCTGGCATGTAGTGAGTACCAGGGGGAGGGTGGAGTAGCCCCCAGTGCCCCTCCAAGCCTGGGCACACCACAGAGAATGGAACAGATGCACAGACAAGCGTTTCCAATGCTTTTTGTTAGTTTTGAAATAGGCTTTGTAAAAAATGCTCTGGAATTGCTACCTCTGCAGGAAATAACCACCTTTTCTCCATTTTTTTTTTTTTTTTTTTTTTTGCAGTTTTTGGCCAGGGGCTGGGATTGAACCCACCAACTCTGGCATATGGGGCAGCACCCTACTCCTCTGAGCCACAGGCGCCACCTCAAAATAACCACCTCTTTTATCAGTGAAAGGTCTTTCCACTCTTGAACATGCTGGTGTCAGTGAGGACTTGGTTCAGTATTCCTGGATTCCTAACAGTGGAAGCCCGAGAAGCCAGATTGTTGCCCATTCCTCCCTTTCTCTAAGGCCTGTGCTAGTGCAGTGAAGAAGAGGGATTTCTCCCAGAGCCTTCACACTCCCAACAAAATTTGTGGATAAAGTAAATTTAAAATTAAATTTTTAATGTCTAAATTGTTCCCTTATTCAAAAAAATAAACTGAGTGTGCCAGGCACTGTAGAGGCCTCAGGGATGCACTGATCTTCGTCCCTGCCCCTCATGGTTATCAGTCCATTCCAGCCTGCTGTGCAGTGGGTGAGCTGTGCTGTGCAGCCCACGAGCGTGGTTTAGGGATTAGTGAGCACTCGCAGGAGGGTTGGGGGAGCTGCTAGTTTTATCCAATGGTCCAGCAACAGCAAGGACTCAGCAATGGGAGGAATAAATGTCCCCTGAGGGAGCAGCAGCGCACGGGCCTCGCCAGTGGGAGCAGGAGGCCAGCGAGGTTGCATCTCTGTGAGTATTTGATGAATGAATGACTGACTCGACTAAGCCATCTCATCTCCAGATGGTCTGCATGCTGCTATGGGTAGGAAAGAAGGAAGCCATCGAGTTGGGGCAGGGTGGCTTGGGGAGAGCCTCAGTGCCAGTAAGAGTGTCTGGTAAGAGTGTCCCCTCCTACTCTGCTGGGATGGAAGCTGAGGAAGGTAGACAGAGCAGCTGTGTCATGTTGTATGTGCTCCTATCACTCCTGCTGCTGAGGCAGGACCAGCCACTCGAAAGTGGGCAGGGGCTTGCTGGGAGCTGACAGGCTCGCATTGGTGCATGGTGGGTAGTTGTCCCAGGAAGTCCCTGTCATGCCAGTGTCTCACTTTCCAACTGACCCCGGCTGCAGATGCTGAAGTCACCAAATTAACACTGCTGCAAGATAGGAAAGATGTTACTCATCAGCCAGACGCCTCACGCTGTACATCTGCACCTCTGTGTCTGTGCCTGCGTCTGCTTCTATACTGTCTGTGATTACATATGAAACCTGATAAAGTAAACTTAGAACCTCAGAAGCAGTGCGTAATACTGTGGTGTGCTACCTGTGCTGCACAGCCACGGCCCCTGAGGCTCAGGGAAGGCCACTGGACCCCTTGCCTGTGGCTGAAAGAGCTCACCCTCACCCACTGTGCTCAATGGCCAGGATTTGGAAATACTTGATACCTGGGGTGAAAAATTATATTGAAAGAATAAAAAAGGCCAGGCATGGTGACTCACACCTGTAATCCCAGCATTCTGGGAGGCTGAGGGAGGTAGATTGCTTGAGCTTCAGTGTTTGAAACCAGCCTGAGCAAGATTGAGATCCCATCTCTACTAAAAATAGAAAAACAGCTGGGTGTTATGGTGGGCACCTGTAGTCTCAGCTACTTAGAAGGCTAAGGCAAGAAGACTGCTCAAGCCCAAAAATTTGAGATTACTGTGAGCTATGATGCCATGGCACTCTACCCAGGATGACCGAACAAAATTCTGTCTCAAAAATAAATAAATAACAGAGCAAAACTCTGTCTGAAAAACAAATAAACAAACCAGTAGAAGAATGGTGAGAATTACACACACACACATATTAGAACCAACCAGAAACCATCTACTGGTCTGTCCCCCAGTTGGCTTGTCCCTTGTAAGGGTTTGTCTTTGGGGCTCTGATTGATGGATTTTCTAGTCACGGTATGTTATGAGAGCCTCTAGCATTAGCAATTATGAACAGAATTAAGCAATCCTATTTACTTGAACATCAGAGGACTAGATTCATGGAGAGCATAGAGATGGGTAAACATTGCCAAAGTATGCCATTTTCCACCATTGTTATAACACTATTCATGGAAGAGATGCTATTGATAATTGAATTATCTGAGAATACTTTACCCAGTAAAGTGATAGATTTTTTTTTAACAGAAGCCATATGACCAGCTCTACAAAATAAAAAGAAGATAAAATAAAAGAGATAAAATACAAAAAAAGAAATAAGAAAGCCCTATATAAAGTGAACACATATTTTTAGAGGGAAAAATGCTAAAAGGTGTAATATTACACGTTATTATCCTTGAGTAAAGAGATAATAGGTTACATTTTCTTTCTGACACATTTCTAAAGTTTATAATTTTTTCTTCTTTCTTTTTTTGTTTCCTGGGACAAAATCTTGCTAGAGTGCTGTGGCGTCACAGCTCACAGCAACCTCAAACTTCTGGCTGAAATGATCCTCCTGCCTCAATCTCCTGAGTAGCTGGAACTACAGGCACCTGTTATGATTTCTGGCTAATTCTTTTCTTTTCTTTTCTTTCTTTCTTTTTTTTTTTTTTTTTGAGTAGACACAAGGTCTCACTCTTGCTAAGGCTGGTCTCCAACTCTGAGCTCAGGCAGTCTGCTCTCCTCGGCCTCCCAGAGTACTGGGATTATAGGCGTGAGCCACCATGCCCAGCCAAAAAGTTTATAATTTTTTCAAGGATATTTTTATTAAATATTTTATTCTCACACACATTAGCTCTAAAAAGCTTCTAATCAAAAATTGGCACTTGGGCCCCCCATCTCCTCAAAGAAATCTACTTGCAGAAATTTTGGTCATTTATTTTAGTATTTGCTATTCATAGTTCTCAATGTTATACTTTTGCCTCTTGAATAAAGTGGAGTTTGTTTGTTTCTTTTCCATTTTACTTATTCGTAAGTAAGAATCTGGTCCCATGGTTTTAAATTCCAGCGAAGGTGAAAGGCAGCCGGCTCTACCTCGGCCACACAGTTCCGCCACTCGGCGACCTGGTGATGGTTTCTACTCTGGAGACCTGTAAGCAGAGTCAGAAGTTTTGCCCTTTCGTGTGTGGCTTACTTCACCCAGCATCATGTCCCCAGGGTCCCTGTGTGGTGTGGCCTGCATCAGAAGTGCCATACTCTGTCCTCAGCCTTTCTCCTCACCCCTGGTCTTCATCCCACACGAGCTCCATCCCTCCAGGATGAGCGTGGACCCTCTCCACTCCATTTCTCCAGCATTCAGGCAGGCTCTGGGTACTACCCTGTCTGGAACCACTGACCCTGCTCTCCCTCGTTGTGTGCCAGCCACTTGCTAGAACCTACCTAGGGCCTGTGGGGATAGCCCTCCTGCCTGCTGCCCCCTCTGCGGGCACCTCCCAGGGCCTGTGGGGATAGCCCTCCTGCCT